CCACCATGCAGCTCAGTGCCCAGTTGCCATTTTTGTACCGACTGTTGTGTTGTGTTCTCTGTAATATCCGTAGCAAAGGCGGCCAATGTGCTGCAGTCCAGACTGCTGGGTGACAGGAATCAGTGGACCAGTGCTGTAAGGACATGGAGCCGCCTGCAGGGGGAGCTGGCAGGCAGGAGGAGTACTGTCGAGGCAACAAGCACTGCTGTGGGAGTGACAAGGAAGAGGGAGGAGGGGAGAAGGAGTGAAGCACAGAAGGAAGAGGAAGAGAAGTGCGATTTGGAGTCTAGAAAAAGTGCAGGGGAGCAGAGGGAGGAGAGTGGGAACGGGAGGCTGAGAAGTGGCGAGCAAAATGAGGCCCAGACGCTGGAAAAGAAGAGAAAGAGGGATGATGGTGATGAAGAGGAGGAGGAAAGGAGGGGTGCAGCTTGGAACTTTACTAGTGAGACGAATGAAGAGAAAGAGAAGACATCTGAGAGACAAAGGGGGAGAGAGGGAGAAGAGGAGAGGGTAATGTTGGAGTTTAGCAGCTGTGGAAAAAATGGTAAACACAGAGATTTGAATGGCCGAGCCCCCGCAGCACCACAGGACCGCTGTGTGGACAGCAGCAGCCGGAGGACGGATGACACGGCAAAGGGTGTTGCTGTAGAAAGGGTTGAAAATGGTAACAAGATAATTCTTTCTTTTTTTTTTCCGTTTTTATTTCAACTTGAATAACATTAACTTTTAAGGTCAACATCTTTCCATCTCTGTTTTTATCGCGTCTTTATTTCCGTCAGAGCCGCCTTCTGTCCCAGTCTCTTTCAGGATCAGCTGCAAGTGTACTGGATCTCTGTCCCGATACTTCAGCCCACAGGTAGTGGAAGTTAAAATGCACATGACAAATCAATGCAAAAATAAAGGTTAGGAATTAAGAAAAGACAAAACATTTGATCTTCTTCTGATAATGTTGGTAATGCTACACATTATTAGACTTAATGCAAAAATACATCTCATCAATTTGTTGACACTGTGTCTCTTTGTGGACCTGTTTTTTATATTGTATGTTTGCATGTTGTATCTGATATAGGAGGTGGGCAAAGTGATTGGAGCAGGTCTGAGCAGACTGCTGGGCTGGAAGGCCGACCTGAGGAATCCACAGCTGGAAGTAAACCTTTTTACTAAATATGTGGATTTATTCCCAGACAGCTTCATCTTTATGGGCATGACTGCTCATATCATAAGTAAATACTCCCACCTTGGATAATGATGTTGCCTGTCCTTTCAAATTGAGCATCATTATTTATTTGCTCTTTTCTGCAGGTACATGTTTATTTGAGTGATGATCACTGCCTGCTGGGGATTCCACTAACCAGGTTAGTGACAGAGACACTTTCTCTACATTTAACACTTATTAATAATGACTTTAGTTAACTTTATAAACAGTAATAAGTTATTGGTCTCCTGTCTGTTTCCTTCAGGTTACCTCTGGCTAACCGCAGCTACATTAAAACCACAGGACTGAGGTCTACTGTAGCCTGGGCTATGGCCTCATTGGCTCAGATACAGGTATGAACCAACACAGGTGCTGGCTGATGGCTGCTGTAGTCTTCATCTTATGCGGAAACTACTTTATTACGTGTACACTTTTGTTTATGTATGCAAATCAGAAGGCAAACAAGGTGCTTTGTTTTGTATTTGTTTTAAAGAGGCGTTCTGCCATTTAGAGTGTTTGTTTATTTCAAAAACGTAAGGCAGGTTTAGACTTGCTCATTTAAAGCTGTCCTCCTTTTCAAACTTTCAGCATGTTTGTTGTCTGTGCTGAAGCATTTGCACTCCGGTCAGTCTGTGATGTTACTGTTGCCCTTCAGTGACCGTATGTGGTTGACCAACTGTATGTACTGTATGTTATCTCCTGTTTCCCAGCCAGGCTTCTGTGTGGTTGACCCAATGTGTGGGGTGGGAACCATCTTAATAGAGGCAGCACAGGAACACAAGGTCAGGACAGAAAGAGTCTGAAAGAAGTCTAAAAAGCAAACTTTTGCAATGTTTTGGAATTGGACAAAACATATGGTTCTGTCCTGGTACACATGAATACACATTTTACACCCCTTCATATTAATGTAAAGAATATTGTTCAGACATGCACTAGTACAGTAATGTTGTAATACGTTCTAGTCACATTTAATGCATTTTTAATAATTATTTTTGTTCAGATTAAATAATATATAATAATAATATATACTGTAGTGCAATTGGAACACTATAATCTTGTATATCACTCTCTATGGGGTCTTCAGGCTGCCTGTTTCCTGGGTATGGACATTAATGATGGACAGCTGCAAAAGGCCAATGAGAATGTAGAGTTTGCAGAGCTGGGAAACAGGATACACCTGCTGAAAGCTTCATCTATGGGTAGGAAACCTGCACAACATCATCACTGGAATAATGTTAAATATATGTCATTAAACCTTTTACATTTTTGGCATTAAGCTAACTACAGTGGGTGCCTCAGTAAAAATCATTTCTGGGTTGTGTTGTAAAGTTGCACCATAGTAAATGGTCAAAAGGTCAAAGGCCAGTGTTTTAAAAATAGATGCTGAAAATATTGCTGTGTCATTTACAGATATTTTGATAAATGTACACTTTTGAAATACAGTCGCTTAGAAAAATATGTCATTACTGTCTTGGAGAAAGTAATCGTGATTCTCACTACTGAATTAATGTCGAGGTTTTAGAAATGTGACCTTTATTTAGTTCACTGGGGATCCAAAGCTGCATGTCTTGGATGGGAATCAGTGAGTGGGAGGTGAGTGTGGAGCCTGCTGTCACGTATTAAATTACCTCTTGGCTTGTCCGTCCCTCTCTGTGTCTGCAGTGCTGCCTCTGCCCAGCGCCAGTGTAGATGCTGTAGTCTGTGACCTGCCATTTGGAAGGAAGTTTGGCACCAAAACAAACATGGCTGCCAACCTGCCACTCATCCTCACTGAGATGGAGAGGTTTGTTCCTCTGTGTTCCTTTCCATTGTTACTTAGAGAATTGTTCGGTGAATCAGAAAATGTTTTTAGTTTTTCTCTTTGTGTTTGTTTGTGGGTGTTCATGTAGTGTGCAGAGTTCTGAGCCTCTGAGACAAGTTGCACATCAGAATAGATCATAAACTGTATAAAATGTAGATATTATATTTTGTCCTGTTATTGTGAAAGTTAAACTCCTTTTAATTTTTTTAAGTTTCAGCACAGAACTGTAATTAATTTAAATGTTTGTCTAGGGTCCTGTGTATTGGTGGCACCCTGGTTCTTCTTCTGAGTCCTCAGTTATCCTGTCTGCTGAAAAAACTCCTGGCACAGAAAGACACTGGACCAGCGTCTAACCTAGAAACAAAGTCTCAAACTGGGACACAAGACTGCCCCTCTCCTTCTCTATCTTCCACAAAGCAGCAGACATTCCAGATCAACCAGGGAGTCGATTCCCCACCTACCCAGAAAACAGACCCTCAGTCTGGGCTCCAACGCAGTCTGCCTCCCCTTCTCTCCTCCCTGAAGCACCAGAGAACTCTTAGAGTCAGCCTAGGCTTGATAGATGGACTTATCCATAAATATGTAAAGATGGACACTTGATCAGTGTTGAAATGAAAAATATGTAGTTATGTTGAAATGCCACACTTAAATAAAACAACTTTTTTCTTTATCTGCTTGTTTCTCTGCTGTTTTTAATTGCACACAATATATATTTATTATATATATTTTACTTTTTTAAAACAATGGTAAATTCTGAGTTGTGTGCGCTTTCAAAGTCATGTGAACTGTGGATTGTAAATGTTGCCATTCCAGGGTTAAATCCTTTATCCATCTTCTTATCCTACATTTACTTTACATTGAAACTACTTAACTGTAATTTAAAGAACCTGTCTCATATTGTGCTTTTAAATGATTAGCCTGGACTTATTCTTATGGAGTTATGTTCTTCATAGTTCTCAAAACTGTGCAAACTCCCTACCATGACTGAAGATGTAAATCTTTTAAAACGGCTGACAAATATATAGTTTCAGTTAATGGGTTTAGCTTGGCACTGTAGTTTTAAGTAAATGTTACTCAAACAGGAGAAAATAGTGTGTTTCAGCTTCTAATATATGTTTTGCGCTCTTGACAGTCTATGTGAGACTCAAAATAAACTACAGTTCCCATGTTCTTGCTAAAGAAGGAATATGTCCCCCCAGTTCAACTGTGTGGCTCTTAGACCTTTTTCACAGCAGCCAGATACTAATTACATTTCTGTTGCATTCAGGTCAAACACAGTCAGGGTGCAGGTTGGCTTACTGAAAAAACTCTGCTACAATATACTGAACGGAACCTTAATTACTATCATTGGTAACACTTGTGTTTAACCTACTATTTCATGTCGAACTGACTGCTGTGAAAAAGGTCTGTGGCACAGATGAATAAGCTCTATCGGGATTTTGCCTAACAGATGATATTTAGTAAATGAATGGCTGTATGAATGACACTAAGAAACGTGGAATAAAACTAACCTTATCCTATGAGTGGACTGAGATGGCAACTATAAAGTTGTCTGTAATGGGAGTTTTGTTCTGCCTGTAACACATAGACCCCATAGGCTGAATCACAATGTTGCCATCTGCCACAGTTTAGCCCTGCTTAGCCCAGTTTTACTCTGAGAGGCCAGACAAGGCCACACAGGGCTTAGTTTTTTAATTATTTTCCCGTTAGATATAAACTTCCTGTGTTTTTGCTGCCTTTGCAGAATTGAAAAATGGCTTCATCTCCAGTGTATAGATCCAACGGTGCTGGAAGTGAAATCAGTATGGCTTCAAATGAGGTGTACAGTGCTTTTCTCTGGCCTTTATTAAATTGTACCTGCACAAACATTACTCATGTGACTTATTTGTCCTTTTTTCCAGTTTATTGTAGTGTTATAACCACACTCATCTCTTGAAACGAGTCGCAGTCGTATTAAATTCAACTGCTCCATCTCCCTGATCAGACTCTATGGAGAGGGTACGCCATGATGTCCATTGCGCATGCTCAATGCGCAGTGGAAGCCATGTTGGAGCTACATTGGATTCGGGCTGGGATTTTCTGACGCCGTATGTTTTTCTTAAAATATCTGTTTTCATACATTGTTGGGGTTCGTCCACCGTGCGCGATCGGCGCCGTACTCGGCAGTGGAAATGATGAACTCCAGTGTCGACCTGTCCCGGCGGAATCCGCAGGAGGATTTCGAGCTGATCCAGAGGATAGGAAGCGGCACATACGGAGATGTGTACAAGGTAAAACTGCAGTGAGGGAAGCAAATTGCAGAGTTCCATTATCGGACAAACATTGGTTACACGTTCGTATTTTTCATGTTGTCATAACAGCAGAAACCCGACCGTGTAGCCACCACTGGCTCCTTTTATGAAATGCGTATCTGTTTTCGTGTTAATGTTCACTGATGCAGCACTTAATCTGCTACTCATGCACCCAGTTCCATTGTCGGACACACAGCCAAAGGCTGGTCTTCGCTTATGTCTTTAGGCTGTTATTGTTTTGGCCTTTCTCCGCCACTTTATGGACATCCGGGTTAACGTTAAAGAAATGGCTCTTTTGAGTCGTTACAATGCTCGGATGGCGAGAAAACATCAATGAGCACAGCGACCGTCAACGCTGACTGGAAACCTCCGGTCGGAGCTCGGGCGCAGAAATATCATTTAGTCGAGCTTAGAAATCAAATTGACTTCGTACTTAAGTGTGAGTCGTTACAAAGATTTAATATATATGACCTGCTTGTTTACACGCCGTAGACAGTGGTCTCAGTGTAAAATACTGCGGTGAGTTGCTACCGTGAATATAAAAGGACGAATGATTGAGTTGTGTCCGATAATAGACGTTTAGCCGCTAGCTGTCCGAGAACGGACGCAGTAAACCTGATAGCACGTAGAAGCTAACCAGGCTTTTAGCAGTTCCGTGGGAACAATGTGACAAAATAACAACAAGTAGTTTTTTGCTAGCTGCACGGGAACACGAACCGAACCAGAGGCGAGCGAAGAGGTTCACCGTGAGCGGGAATATCACACAGCTTTCACTGAATCGGTTAAAACTGTCTCCGTTTCTCCGTGACAGAGACTGACAGCTGGAGGTCCACTTTGGCTAAAGCGCGCAGGACTGAGCAAGCTACAACAACAACCACCATAATATCAGCAGCCCTTGTCCTTTTTATGATTCACTTTTGAACACCAGTAAGAAGTAGCCACCGTTATTGAGGCGCTGGGTGTTTATTTCTCTGTAGACTGTGTGGTTTTCCGCGTTATAGCTGTTTATCTGTGCTCCTACTCTTCACCAAGGGCCTGTGCTGGGAGCAGACAGCCCGCATCCAAAAGGAAAAGAAGTTCCTGAATTACAACCCAACTCCACCACAACACAACACCGTGTTTATTACATGCTATAGAACAAGTGCAGTCATAATCCTGTAACACAATGTGGTAGAATACAACGAAGAAACACAGCCAGGATGCCACATGTCATGCAGAATTTATGCCTTTTTTGAGCATTACTGGTTACATAAAGATGAGACTGTAACCAGTAATGCTGCAGGACATAAAAATACTGTAAATCCAGCAGCACAGACATGAGTAAAGTCCCTCTAGGATACTGCATTCACACCATATACGATTGAGAGTACCGCAGAGTTCAAGACGAGCACACTTGTATGAAAAACAAGTTCAGAGCTCTTACTGGCGTCTCATTCTGGATGTTTGTGGAGACGTTTTGGTGTATCAGCCTCACCAGTTTTTTTTTTTTATTTGCACATCAGCTCTTATGTCAGTTAGGTTAGGCAAGTTTACCATCCACACTGTTTACCTCTGTAGTTGTTTGTGTTGCGGTCACTCTGTTGAGGAATTTAATTTCCCCGCTGTGTGAGGGAGAGGCTTTTGGCAGACTGGAGATTCATTAAGCACTTTAATAGGACTAGATGATGTTTGGTTAACCTCTAGGCCCTTAGTGGTAATTACAGGAATATTAATGTATCCTAAAAAGAGACAAGAGACATTTCCAATCTTTCTGGACGCATAGTTGCCATTAAGTACATTCTCAAACCTATTGTCATCATTTCTTCCCTTTTTTGTGTTTTTCATATTGTATCTGCAGCTGTAGCTGCGGCTAATCTTGTTTCTAATTTAGGTTCAGTATCTTGCCTTGTTGCGGGCACATAGAGTAGGTCTGACACGATCTCTCCAGCAGGTCAGAGCTAACTCGCCTGCTATAGACCTGTTACAAACTGTGTACAGCTCATTAATGTGCACTAATGTAGATAATTGTAAGGAGCAAAAACCTTTCATCTATTTCACAAAATCACAGCAGGATCACAAGAACTCTTCAGTTTCGCTGACAGCGCATCCTTTCGCAGAGCTTATAGACAATACAGTTATTATGTAGCCGACGGGGGTTTTGCTGAGAGACACTTGGGGGGGCTCAAACCTGGAACCTCTGGATTAAAGGATGTGCTTCTAAGCGGCAGGGCAACTTGGTAAACCTCATTGATGCCTATATTTGGTTCTAGCGCTGTGTGAAAATCTGTGGCTTGGATAGGAATGTTTGAGCAGGAAACAAAGTGTGAACTCAGCTAGCTTGTTTTCGCCTCTGTTTGTAGTCCTGCCTCTTGTCTGTATCAGTCAGAGACTGAAGGAGGATTGGTTGACAGGGAGACGGGCCTCCTGACCACGAGATCACAGGTTCGATCCTCTAAATAAAGGTGCTTGTAGGCTACAGTGAACTGGTATCTTTGATTTGTACAAGAGGGGTTAAACTACCAATATCTTCACAGCACTAATATCAGCGGTTCCCAACCTGGGGGTCGGGACCCCCACTAGGGGTTGCCAAAGCTTCATGGGGGGGTCGTGAGGCCTTATTGATTTTAAGGCGTAGAGAAAACGTAAAAAATATAGACAGTAGGACTTATATCTCAGCAACTGGTTCACTTCTGTTTGGAAAAGTACGTATAAAGTAAAGTAAATTCTAACTATAAATTATGGCCAAGCATCAGAGAGAAGGAAACACAGAATTTATCAAAGAAGAAGCCTCAAACTAATCTTTATTTTACAATCATACATACCAAATGTAGATTATTATTTAAAAAAAACTAACATAATACATACTTGCATAAAAAGAGCGAAAGTTTCCTAAACAGAAAAATAATCCTATATAAAATTCATTCAAATCACTCGTTTTTCACTATTTGGATTCACTGTACAGTTTGGATTATATTATGAAATATCCATAAGATATGGCTGTTAGTCGGGGTCGTTAGTTTACTAAATGATAGAAAAGGGGTCCCTTAAGGAAAAAGGTTGGGAACCACTGATTTAGGTCATTCAGTAGCACCAAAACACTCCATTTAAAGTCAGAGTAATGAAATTCTTTTGTCTCTCCTGTAAGACAGGGTGAGGCAGGTTGACGTTTACAGACAAAAAGGATATACAGCATTTACATAACTAATGTAAACCACAATTTTCAGTTTCTTATTGAGATAATACCGCCTGAGCATCTTTACTCCTCATCGTACGGTAAATAACACCTGCTAAGCATGTTTACACGTGATTTACTGTTCCTAAACACAAATCATTAGCTATGTGTCAATACTGGAAGAAAGCCACCCTACTCCCCTTGTATTGGAGGTGACAGCACTGAGTGATTTCCAATTTTTAGACCTGCATTAGGCTGCTTCTCACTTTTGTAGCTTGAAATGCCCGTGCAAGTCAAAACTTCAGTAAACTGCATCTGACTGGTGTGTGATGCTTTAAAGTGTGTAACATTTAGGAGGATCTGTTGGCAGAAATGGAATATAATATACATAAATACGGTTTCATTAGTGTATAATCACTGGAAAATAATTTTAGCTGTGTGTTTGTCTGTTTGAGGGTGAAGCGAGGGCGTTACAATCCGCAACTGAACCACTAGATGTCACTAAATCCTACATACTGGTTCTTTTAAACTACAGAAACCAGACTGATGTCCCTGAGCCCGGCTCGCTCACTGATGTTACAGATGCAGTTTGTATTGATTTGTCACTTGATGTGGGTGGAGCGGAGGAGCGACAACGCTTTTCTTCTGCCGTCGCGCTTTGTTACTTAGACTGCTTCAAAAAGAGCTCCAATAAATGCCAGTATCCGCTGAATACGTTACTCTACAGCCACAAGAAGTTGCTCTGGGGGTACTGCTGCAGTAGCTGCCCTCACTCTCTGCCCCTCAGAAGGCCAAGTATTTACCAATAGACAGGATGTGATGTAACTTCTGTTGTTCAAATAGGATGACTGGCTGCTTTTCTCAAGGTGACTGTGCTGGTGGCTTCGGATTGAGGAAGTAGAGGCAGATAACAGGCCTTCGGTGGGGATAGAGATCAGTTAATGACAAATCAATTTCAGTAGCAGTGTGTGCTCTAGAAACATCTCAACCGTCTGAGTATTTTTGGACTTTTACGTAAGGGGAAAGCAATGCTACCAGTCTTCCTGTATGCCTGTTCACTTTTGTGGCTTTTTTTTTTTTTTTTAACCAGCGCAGTCAGCCAAATACAAAGCTGAAAATAATCAATATAAATGAAAATAACATGATAAAACGGTACATTTGGCCGTACTGTGGGCAGGATTTCCTCAGTGAATCCCCTAAAACCAAACTGTAATCATACCTATTCCAGATTCAAACAAAGATACTTGCCCAGTAGGCTGGGTTTGACTTTAACTCCTTCATAAAAGTAACACAAGCGTGAGGGCCTTCATCGTGATTTAAGCCATATCATGTGGCTGTCTGTGTCTGCATCCACGCACTTCTGATGTATTTAATATAAGACTGATGTACTTAACAGTGATAAATGCGGTGACTGCAACGACTTCCTCTGTCCGACCTCTGTGTGTGTGTGTGTGTGTGTGTGGGGTACAGCTGGGCAGCCGTGGTCCACAAGAATGCAGGAATCTTCACTTCCTCCATATGTGTGTGTGTTCATGTCCTATTGTTTTACACTAGTAGCCCCACACACACACACACACACTCACAAAACCAGATGATTGTATTGTCACATGCATAGGCACACGTGCACAGATGGCTGTGGAGTCACAATTAAAGCTGCTGGCCCAGAACCATCCTGTTTTTTTTCACTGTTCCTCCAGTTGTTTTGCTCTCTGAGGTGGATATACAGACCTCAGCCCGCATTCACAACAGCCCTCGGTTCCTGAAATCCTCTTTGGCGTCGGATCCAGATCGGAAATTTAGTCCCCATCCTGGCACTCTGCTTTCTGTT